ACAGGGAAGGACTGTTTTACATGGTGTCCATGTCGTGGGCACCTACCTCAACGGCATCTTCGACGGCCGATGCGTCTGCGGAGTAGACGCCTAAGTCCTTTTGATCCTACCGCAGTTCATTCTTTTCGTTGGGACTACGTGAAATAGAGAAACTAGAACCAAAACCGTGGAACATATTTAAATCAGGCCATCGTTTGGGAACATCGTCCAAGCGCCGCGGGCACTTGACACTGCATTCTGCGGTCTTGTTTGAGGACTCTGCAATCAGCAAGTGGGTATCTGCTCACACCTCCCACACTTCGGTGATGACCTTGGCGACCTGCACGGTCCCTTCCTCGTTTCGACCCTAGGGTACTGATGATGCCCGAAGTAGGATCCTCCATCTCGCCTCTCTACTCGTTTCTGCTATAGCTGGTCGCACGGTTATACGGTGGTGAAAGTTTGCCCCAGTCGTTACGTGATTTCCCTCGGGACGAGGAGTGTTTCAAACCCTCGCACGTTCTCATCCACATGACGGGCCTATCTGGTGTATATTTTTCTCCAATAAGCGGCAGCTTTTTCGCCTAAAAAATCCACAAATCCCATTCAAACTGCTATGTTTTACGGAAAATACCCAGGGCGTTTTTTACCACCATCGCCCGTTTCTCTTACGTTTGTTCCACCTCACTGGTTCGTGTCATTTGACACCGCCAATAAGCTGAGATACTAGTCATGAAGCAACAATTGCACAAGTTTGCTCTTTCGTTCTAATATTTTTTTCGTTTATCCCGACAGATTTGTAAGACTTCCTTGCTAAATTTTTAAAAGTTTTGATGTCACAATGTACATGTAGACAAATAGGAAATTTAAAGCTGCACACCTACATTTCCCTCAAATAAACTGAACTGAATATATTAGTCTGTGGACCAACCCATGTAAAACACCTAGGATAATCACTGAGGTAGACTTTTCATATGTGCTTAAGAGTGTCAATTTCATTTTCCAGGGTTCAAAAAGATGCGTGGTAATCTAACTAGGACAGCAACTACAGACAAGTATGAATAAAGAAGGCTGATCGGACACTGGAACAGTCTGCTTATTGCCCTGAGCTTTTAAGCTCTTAAAGGCTGGGAAACCAATCAGTCGATGTATCGATTTGGTGCCGGCTTACAGAGCCCTGCGCAGTCGCCTACAGACGTAAGCCAATGAAATTTGATTGGTTCATACCCCCTATAATTGATCCTTTTTGTTGCTGCTGTGACCTCTGACGGCGAACTCCTGTACGAGTCGGGAAGCACCAACAGCCTTCTGTCTTGCTCATGCAAACACCTGGAACGTCAATTTTCACATTTACAGATACATCTACTGATAACAGCGGTAGCGACAACGGCGATTACGCTTGAGGCGCCCCCAACGTCTGTATAGCTAGCAGCGTGCCTGAGTAGCGGGCATAGGTGAGCTTGTCGGTGGCGCACCCAAGGATTGACAAACAAAACTTCCCAAATTTATCTTTCTGTATCTCGATAACAGTCTAGAGCGGTACAAAGTACGTTGTTTAATGCTTTTTTACGTCCGATACAGAGACGGCAGAATTCTCACTTGTCGCCGGGTTAACGTGTGTGTGTTGCCTCGGCTTTATGCTTCGCGTTGCACTCTCTTCCGCTCTTATCGCCTGTGTGTGCTGTTATCTGCCGCCGACAGAGCATGAACTTAGTGTAGTAAAAGCTGTGCCCTCATCGATCCAAATCGCAGTGTACTCCAGTTGACCAGAGCTGACGACCTGGTTGATGGACAGAGACAGGAAAGGCCGAAGTGTACGCGCTCGTGTGTGTACTCAGCTCAGCTCATAGTTTAGACGCTAACGCAAGGCATGATAGTGTAATGGCCGCGAACTCGGTCAATTGGCCTGATATAGACCACGCGTACCATCAGCTTTGAGAACGCCGAGACTGGCACGGCGGGAGAGGGGGGCTTAAAGAACCAAGATGGTTCACCCGATAGCATAGTTTACGCCACTAAACCCGCAGTAGTGAAGAGGGGCGCAAGCAAATTCACGAGGGATGCAACAGAAAGTCCAATTGGGGGAGGGATGGGCACTGCTCAAAAGCATCCAAAAAACGAAAAAATATGACTGAATGACTCTTCTGGTGGGGAAGAACCGAGTCAATGCTACTTCATTAGAAGTGAAGGAAGGGTGCGCGCTTGCGTGCGAGTTTGGTAGCGTTAAAAAAATGCGACGCATTTGAAATGGCTTATATGCCCTCAACTTCCGCCTCCCCGACATGACATACGAATAGAAAAGTCTCAACACGAGTGCCTTTTTAGGGAGGGCAAATATTACCCTAAGCCTAACCTAAAGCACAACACTGGTCTTAATTCAAACCCTAAGTTCCTAAGTATTAAGCGCAAAGCTACCTGCATTACGAGCAATTCTCATTCCCATTCTTCTGCTAGGGGAGGCCATATAGACAGGTTTTACCTAAGACCGGGGCATGTGATCGCCAAAGTAACAGGTGGTGTGTTGTCTCGATGGGGTAGCGTCATTATCTAGTTAATTAGATTCAAACGGGTCCTTTATTGGAATCCAATAAATGATTGCCACTATCCCTTTATAAATTTCATGTTGCCTTCGCATAGTTGTGAAACTGAGAATAAATGGACCGGACTTATAAAAAATGTCGACAAGCACTGAGTCGATTAGTCTAAGGCTTTAGATGATTCAACATCTCTCTAACGAGTTAGGCCACAGGTGAGGCAAAAAGGAATGACCTTAGGTATGACTTACATTGCTTACTAAACAAGACAGGAGAATAGGAACGCCCCCCTCCACTATCGTCCAGACGAATGCCCATTAGCGCGACTAAGCGGTACCTAAAGAGCCTTGTTTTTTCAAGAAAACTGAGTCACCAGCTTAGGACTAGGAAGACACAAACATCATGAGTTAAGGTCCTGAGTTCTCACCCCTCAAAGATCAAAACCACAGTCGGAAAACTCTGAGGAGAGGCAACAATCAGAGCCACGACAGAAACGTGGGATTCAAGCCAAACTCGGCGTAGGCCAGCAATCTAAAGCCTTGTCCATATGAAACCATGGGAAAGCGGAGAAATGTGCTTGTGCTGCCCAGGATATGCGCCAACAGGTTGGTACAGTGATGGTGACTGGTCACAGGGGGTAGCTTTAAAGTAATAGCAGACGTAATTAAGGCCAACCGCACTCTTCACCTTCACCATGGGTCAAGAGGACCGGACTGGATCTGGCGTTGGTCGCTTTCTCAAATGCAAGCCAGTCTTAAGTGACAGTAGACTTTGCGCGGGCACTACCACACTACCTACCCTCACTCACTCACCTTCAGTAGG